TAAATGAAATCTGAAAAATAAAATTGTTTCACTTTTACTCCAGATATTTAACTATATTTATGATTTATTTTCATTATTATTTTAGTGCATACAGTTTGATTTATAGAATATTAAACTTGTTTTATTATATCAATCATCCATAGATATAGTTGTTTTACTTAATCAATAAACCTACATATTATATGGGTATGCAATTATGTATTTTAAACCATCGTACGGAGTATATATTACGTCAATAACTATTACGATTTATTCAGGTGGCATAGCTATGGATATTCATTTGGACATTTACTGACAAAATTAGTTTTACGTGAAGAAATATCTGATGGTTACCTATTTAAATTGAATTTATCGTCCTTGTCGTCCATAACTGTGATAATTTCTAGCTGCCCTCGGACATTATCAATAAGGTTGGACATAAGATTTTGATTGGGTCCTGTTAATTGTTTGATTTCCCACGAAAATATGCTCTCATATTCATTTTCAATTTTGATCAGCCGCGTCCGAATGTTGTCATCCAATCCGAGTTCTTCCCAGTGGTTATCTTCGATGGATAGAGCGACCGTCACATCAGACAAGTCGTTTTCGTCATATCCAGCCATTTTTTAGTATTCAAAGGACGAAATTGCTAATTTGACATTAACATGAATATTATTAGTACATGTCGATATTTAACAATAAAAACAGTAGCGGAATAAAATCATAATTTTATACGTAGTCTTCGGTGGTAATAAAATAAAATTAGTGGCATTTAATATACTGATAACTAAAATTGATTGCCCAATGAGAAACGATCAAAACGTTCGAATACTTATTCGTGAATTGTTCTCCGCCACTTGTAAAGAATCTAGAAGATTGAGGATCAATAAAAGAAAAGCAAGATCATAAGACAACTATAGCCAATAGCCATAAGCCGTATGTAGAGGGGTACGGTTGGTTTGGAAAAACGCAATATGATGTATGTGTGGCAAGGATAATTTGTTGCTAAAAACCAGGATGGTCACCCATCCGGGAGCTAGCAACACCGGTCGATACGTACATAGCGTTTTCGTAGTTGAACGTACGATCGTGCCATGCGCCCACGTCGCACCACAATATGTATAATTTTATTGTGTATATTAAGATGACGTTTCACACGCATGCTTTGTCTCCGTCTTACAAGTGCGTAACATTGCAAAAACTGCTTCGCGCGGGAAAGAACCGAGAAAGATACAGTTATAACTAAGAAACGAAATTTTCACAACATAAAAAGGAGAATTTTGTCTGTGCAATATCGTTTTTATTTTTTCGATATCACTTATACGAAAAAAATTCTTATTGTTCTATAATACATTAATTTTGTGTTTTTTAAGCATGAATAACTTTTTTTGTAGTTCTGATATCGAAAAAATAAAAACGATATTGCACAGGCAAAATTCTCTTCTTTATGTGGTGAAAATTTCGTTTCTTTGTTATAACTGTATCTTTCTCGGTTTCTTCCCGCGCGAAACAGTTTTTGCAATGTTACGCACTTGTAAGACGGAGACAACACATGCGGGTGAAACGTCCTTTTAAAGAAGATTTGGTTTAAATTAAATTGTGTTCATTAAATGGTTTAATTTAATATTGTATTTTGTATTTTGCAATTTGCTAAACACTTCACTCTAAATGAAATTAAATATACAATCAGCAAACTAAAAAATGGAAAAGCCCCTGGACACGATCTCATTACAAACAATATACTCAAACAACTAACAAATAAAGCAATTCTCAACATTACCCACATCTTCAATGCAATGCTCAGACTTTCTTATTTCCCACCACTCTGGAAAATTTCAACAATCATACTAGTACATAAACCTGGCAAACCCAAAAATATAACATCTTCTTACCGTCCAATCAGCCTCCTACCATCTCTGGGTAAATTATTTGAAAAACTTCTATTAAAACGCCTCCAAAATATCTCCGAAATAAATAAAATCATTCCTAACTCACAGTACGGCTTCCGAGCTCACCATTCTACTATCCACCCCCTGCACCGTCTCACCGATGCCATCTCATCTTCTCTCGAACTAAAAAAATACTCTTCCTCGACTTCGCGCAAGCGTTCGACAAAGTATGGCACAACGGACTCCTCCACAAACTAAAAACAAACTTTCCAGCCCCATATTACTTAATACTCAAATCCTATCTTACTCATCGTTCTTTCCAAGTAAATCTAAACAACTCAATATCAAACCAATTTATGATTAACGCCGGTGTACC